CTCGTGTGTGGAGTCCCGCGACTTCTCGTGGCTCAATCCGACTATCTTGTGTCCATGCGAGTTGTTTTTGCGGTGCTAGCGGAGCTGCCGGTGGCAGATCGTGGTAGTGTGAGGCGTTGTTGTGGCGAAGTGGCCCATGTGGTTGATCCGCCTTAGGCCAATGGTCATTCCTAGATCTATATTTGCTATCACTTGTGATAGGGGTGCGAGGCTATCAAAGCATCCCCAATGTGGGATGTTGGCTGTGCTATTAACCTTCCTCTCTTGTTAAACGATATGTGATCAGTGTCCCATTTGCTACTTGGGTGCCCTTTGCTCCACAAGCCACTCTTGTTGGTAATGTCCACGTCAAAGTCGTGCACGCCGACATCATCATTTTTGGATTAGAAAGTGAAAGCGACAACACATGTGACTTTGTGTTTGGTGGTGCTTTCTTGAGTGTCTAGTCTCGAGCTTTGTGATGAAACACCTATGTTTGGCCTTAATTGGTTTATTAGCAACGACGGTGTCACATTATTCCCTTGTTCAAGGCATTGGCTGGATTTTGCTCGCACGTGATCTTTAATTTATGATCCAACTTTAAGTGGTTGGATTCGGCAACAGGCAGCGCTTGTGCGTTGTTTATTTCATGAAGGTGCTGCTTTTGGAGAATCATTCTTGCATCCATGTGCGTCAAGGGATGGTCGGTGTTGCTACTTGTTGCAAATCACCGTTGCTTTTTCTCTTTTAGTTTCTAAATATTTGATTATATGCATCCTCGATATAGTGACGTTGTTGCAAATGTCAGTTCTAACTGATACCTTCGTGACTTTTTATATATTATCCACTATTGAAAAACCAAGAGTGCATCTTATGAACCTCTATTCGGTTTTGGTAATTAACTAAATTAACAAACCAATTATGTACCAATATTTTTTCAAATTTATTGTAGAAAATCAGTTCTCATATTTGAGTGGCAACATCACCTACTTTTTGTTCCTTCAAGTGGTTGCCCACCTGCTCCGTATGTGGTCCATAGTAAAATCTCTACAAGGACTTATATTTAGGAACGGAGGAAGTACTTTATAGTCTTTTGGTTAAGCCAAGATTTATATTTGAGTTCAGGACATTTTGTACAATAATGAGGGGTGCTTGAACCCAAAGATAAGATCCTCAACCAAAATCCTCATGTATTGCACTATTGCCACTCAACTTGTCAGTTTTTCATTGCCTTGGTACTTCCGAGTTTTTCCATCTAGCACTACCGAAGTACCGAGTTTGTGGCCACAACTACTACCTAAACTAGTTACTAGGAGTAGTAGTGGGTCTTTTCTTAGACCATCAGTTGGGGTTTGAGAGAGGTAATTAGCAATGCAAAACTAGGTTGTGGAATGGGGCTACGGAGAAGGGGAGCACAATGAAGGAGGAGCAAAATGAGAAACAAATACATTCTCTTTAAGATGAGCGGGTGATTTTTAATTTTTTAAATGATGAAGAAAGAGGGATCACGAAGAAGAAGGAGGCCAATGAAAACCATACATTAGAAGAAACAAGACATTCAAAAGGCATTGTATATAATTATGAAGGAATACTTGCTAGTATAATGAAATGACAACAAGATACAAAGCTAAAAGAAAAGAAAATCAAAAAGCATACTTGTCACCTTATTCCTTGGACTACATTGTTGCTTAGCAAAGCTTGAAATTTGCACTAAATCACCGGTAAGGCAACGGGATATTTACAAATGCCCCGTCATAATAGGCTCTGAAGACCGGAGAGCGGCCTTCCTGGACGCAGCGGCAGCTGATCGTAGATATCCTGCCGCTCGTCCAATTGAGGTGATCCGTGCGCTGAAATCATTTCAAGTGCGGTAAGTGAGATACAGCGGCTGATACAATGGAATACATTGGTCTTGTGGGTTTCGGCTCTGACTTGGACGGGCCCTTTTCGTTTACCCCCACACCTGGGCCCTGTCCTGTGTCTCCTCCCAATCCCCTCCCCCCTGTTCGCGCAAGCTCCGGATCTGAGCATGGCGACCCCTGGAACGACGACGACGACGTTGCCCTCTGGGTGAGTAGATTTCTGCTCTTATCATTGTTTTTACTTTGGCTCAAGGGCTCACGAGTCCTCCGGCGCTTCCTGTACAACCTTTGGTTCGGGGGGCGGAGTTGTGGCGTCGGCAGGTTCCAGCGAGGGGGCACGCACTGTCGACTCATGCAGCGCGATTCAGTCGTACCGCCCCGGTGTCCCGACTGCGACAAACACCATCATCCGCGTGGGGTGGAAGCGCAGGTACCTAATTCATCTCTTTCTGACTGCACAGAGCCGCAATTCGTTGTGAATTTTTTTGATTGTGCTTTCATATATCCTTTTCGGGATTCCACTTCTAGTACTCCTTCCGTTTCGAATTACTTGTCTTGGATTTGTCTAGATACGGATGTATCTAGACTCATTTTAGTGCTAGATACCTCCGTATCTAGATAAATCCAAGACAAGTAATTCAGAACGGAGGGAGTACTAGTGATTGCATCTTAAACCTATGCAGTTTGGTCTGAAGCCAAGTTTATTCTAGACATTGAAAGAAAATGTGTGAGTTATCATGTGAGCATCTACATCTCTCCGTGCATAGAAAATGATAACGAAAACACTCTGGATGGACTAGTAGTAGCAGTGGGATTACTAGTGCTTGCAGGATTATTGTCTCCGGACGATCTTAGCCTAATGCATTGTGGATGGTTTTTATTTGCCATGTGGGTGTAAAGTTTTTAAGCACCAGGAGTGTAGATAACCGGGGATTTAGACATAGTATAGTCGTGATTTTGGTGTGGGTAATTTTTCAAACAATTTATCCTGTTTGTTTGTTTTAGTTACATTTTTTAATTCAAGTGATCGTGTATACTAAAATGCAGGCCAAGAGGCCCACGCGGCCCAGATGAGAGGGCAGTAGTAGTTGATCGTGTGCCGGCGCTGGAAGCTGCAATCCGAGGATTCACTGGTAGGGTGACCGAGGTTGTTGTCAACCCGACGCTTGGTACAGTATTTGATTCGCTTGCAGAGGCGTATGAGTTCTACAATCTGTATTCATGGGAGGTTGGCTTTGGGATTCGTTACGGCAAGAGCGGGCAGAATGTCAATGGGACCAAATGCATGCAGGAGATCGTCTGTGGGTGTGCTGTAAGTTTCTGTAATTGGTTTCTTCTGTTTATGCTTCATATGTTCAATTACTTGCATTATTCAAAAACAGCTGACCTTTGAATGTCAATTGCTTGCTTTGAATACAAATCCAGAGGAAACCAGAGAGGGAGAACAGCTCATCGATTAGGAGCAACTGCGTTGCCATGATTCGTCTGCACCGGACAGACGACGGGGGGTGGTATGTGTCGGAAAACCGTGCTTCCCACAACCATGTGTTGCTTAGGACCTGTGCTGAGAAGCTGCACTGTCCATCGCACCGGCACATTGACACATACACAAAGGATCTGGTGAAACAGCTGCGGCAGAACAATGTTAATCTGGGGAAGGTTTACAGTATCATTGGCAGTCTGTTTGGCAGAATGGAGAACGTACCGTTTACAAAGAGATGCCTTAGAAGTTTTTGTGGGAAGCTTAGTACGGAGCAGACGGACAATGATGTGCGCAAGACTATGGTTGCATTCTCTGAGCTTGGGGCAAATGATCCGGAGTTTTCGTATGTTGTTGAGGTTGACAAAGAAAGCAAGATAAAAACACTGCTGTGGACTAACGGCAGGAGCAAGATGCAGTACCACAATTTTGGGGATGTCATAACATTTGACACTACTTACAAGACAAACCTCTACGACATGCCCTTTGGCGTCTTCGTTGGGGTGAACAATCACTTCCAGAGTATAATCATGGGTGGTGTCATGATGAGGGAGGAAACAATTGAGAGTTTTAATTGGGTATTCACCGAATTCGTTAGGCTGATGGGTGGCAAGCCTCCAAAAACAATTCTGACAGGTTGGTTGCTCTCACGCGATGCCATGCTCTGCCCCCTCTTTTCCGCTTGATAGGGTTTTCCAATTGTAGCTAGTGTGAGGTGCGTGTCTTTGCTACGTACATGTGCAATGGCCGATTACACATTTTTTAGATCAAGCACGAGCAATGCTATTCAACAGACGATGCCAGATACCACACATCGGTGGTGCAAGTGGCATGTGCTTCGGAAGGCGAAGGAGCACCTCGGGCCGCACTACACTAAACGCAGTGATTTTAGGGCTACGTTACACAAGGTGGTTAATGAGATGCTCACTATTGACGAGTTCGAAGAGGCCTGGGCCGGACTACTTGACAGATACAAGCTTCATAACAACACGTTTTTGATCCAAATATTTGAGGTTAGGCACAAGTGGGCGAAGCCTTATTTTAGTGGCAAATTTTGCGCAAAGCAAACCAGTACGCAAAGGAGCGAAAGCGCGAACCATCTGTTGAAGGGCTACATCCCGCCTGCATGCCCGATGAACCTTTTTGTGAAGCAGTACAGCAAGCTGCAGTTTGATCGGGAGGCTGAAGAAGGGTTCCAAGAGAAGAGAACCAGGCTGGTACGTGCAACAACGAATTTTTGCAGCCATATGCATCCGTCCTGGGAGGGTTCCATTGCTGCTAATCATTTTTGTTGTCTTATGGCAGGGTGGTGTAGTTCTCGGATACAATTTCCCATTGGAGGAGCATGCGAGCCAAGTATATACCCGGACGATGTACGAGATGTTTGGTCAGGCTTTGTATCGGGCAGGTAGGTATGATGTTGAGGAAGTAGAGCGGGGCGTGAGGTACCACGTGAGACACGTTGAAGCCGAGAAACGGGAAAAGTGGTGCCGCGAGATGCATGTGGTCTATGTTCACGATGGAGGGGCTCGTTACACATGCGAATGTGGGCTGTTTGAACACATGGGGATGCTCTGTTGTCATGCTATCAAGGTTAGTTCCTATAGCTTCGGCTGTTGTCGGGGGCATTGGATGAACTGCATTCTTTCCATTGTTTGTGGTTGAATGTTTGTGTTTAGATGTTCCTTCTCCCCTGTCTCAATACCCAGGTTTTGATTCATTTGGGGGTCAGGAAGATACCGCGTGCTCATGTCATGAAGAGGTGGACTATAGATGCCCGAGACAACTTGCCGCTGCACCTCCTCCATTATCAAAAAGATCAAGGGCCTCCGCGGTTGTCATCATACAGACATACGGCGCTACACCTCACTGCCCTCGAGTTTGTGCAGCTTGGTGATAGCAACGTTGATGCGTTCGATAGAGCAATTGACATTTTGAATGCAGGCAAGGCGGAGCTGTCAGTTCTGGCAGCGACCAAGGATGGCAAAAGTTTGGTGGACCAAACTCAGGTTGGTGACTCAGCCAGTCCGACGCATGCTCTGGATGGTGGCGGTTCTCGCGTAGATGATATGTCCTCTGAGATGTTCGTCTCCACCGAGTGTGGTCTTAGCTCTGTTTCTGGGGGTGCTGGGTCTAGTAGTTCATTGTCGATGCTGCTAGCGCCGGATAGGAAGAAGCAAAAGGGCAGACCGACTACGGCGAGGGACAAGCCTGGATACGAGGTCCAAGACAAACGTTCAAGGTTCTGTACGGTTTGTAGGGAGAAGGGGCACAAGAGCACGACGTGCCCCCGCAGGGGTGATCTTCCAAAGAAGCCTCGCAAAATTCCTACATGTGGCAATTGTGGTGTTGCTGGGCACAAGAAAACAAGTTGTTTCAACCCGGTGTTGCCGTTTGTGAAGAGTCCTCGAGACGGACCAGTCGAGTGATTCCTGGTGTGATTTCAAATGATCCACTGGTGGTGCTGATGTTATTTGGATGATATGCTTATGTAAAATGAAATGTGGCAGAACTCAATAAAAGTATAGTTGGACTAGTGATTCCTGAGCGGTGTAGTGAGACATGTGGTTTTTTTAGGCCTTTGTGTGTTGTCTGCATTGTCTTTGTTTGAACCTATGATCTGTATTTTCAGAAATCATTGTGCATTGTTCTGCTGTTAAATTTCTCTGTCGTCCGAAATGCTTACGTGTCCTGTGTTTTCAAACTCTGGGAGTTTTTCCAACCTATGATTATTTTGTCCTCTTTTTACCGAGAGGGATCCACTGTCGGTGGAAATTATGATGCATATCGAGTTTCCACATCTATGGCCGTCTATCAGGTCGCCTGTGACATGGGAGGTACAGGCGAACGAATGACGGGTCGTATCTCCATGCGCTGGAGGTCTGATTGGCTTGGGGTTTGAACATTTGAATTCGTGTGTGGTTTTGGCTATTTAAAAGCCTGGATTGCTGATGCTCCTGGTTTGTTTTCCTCTCCCCACCATTCTCTATCCCTCGTAGATCGTGCTTGTGGTTTGTACTCCTGGCTTCCATGGCGCCTCCTGCAGCGTTCTCCTCCCTAGTTGGTTTTGGCTCCCTGCTTCGTCCGCACTTCAGGTTCCAGCGGAGGGCAGCGGCTGTGAGAGCCCGTGGGTTGATGAAACGCCCACGTAGGACTGTTCTAGCACGTACTGCTGTGGCCACCAACAAGGTGAGTTTTCCCCCGATTGTTTGACAAAAAACTTGTTTTTGTTCCACATATAGACATTGTTTCCTAACTGATCATCATTTTTCCTACATGAAAACTATATCGATGGGGGGCTACATGAAAACTGATCGCCAAGCCCGCGCCAACAAGTAGCACTCGTGCTCTGCCCCGGCCCCTAGTTCATATCATACCATTGCCGATCTAGCGCTGGTTGGTCGAGACCAAATCACGAAGGCCAGGTACAGACTCCATCTCATCCCCTCGTCCATTGTGTGGGTTTTTTCTTTTGTTCATGCTTCCCTTTGAACGTTGTGCCGTCGTTTTGCATCTCTTGTTGACCGATTCGAGCACTTTTGTGCTGGATGCTTGCAAATCCTGCTCGAGCGCTGCGACGACCGGCAGCAACTCGTCCACGCTGCCGAGCGCGAACGATACGGTGCGCGCCCCTCCGGCGCCCGCAGGGGCGGACCCAGAGAGGAAATGATCAGGTGTCCTAGCATATAACTCGGGTAGAACCTGGTAGGAAATCCGTGCGAATGGGCGATGGCAGCTCGCGTCCGCTGACTTCTAGTTTTGTTAGGGATGTCGTTAGGTTGGGGACAGGTGACAGAGAGATCCCATTCCCGCACGAGCCGAGCTGTGCGGATCGGGAAATCCTGCGGTATGTCTTTCCGAGCTCAGGAAATCCGCAGGGTTTAAAAATGTTCCTATTGTAAATTTGCTGTTTGTATGTCTTTCCGTTTCACAGCGTGTTGATCCTCTGATGGGACCTGTTTCCTTGTGCAGGTGGTAGAGTATCTGAGTGCAATCATGCATGCACATGTGTGCTCTGTTGGTGAGGAGAAATATGAATTTGAGGAACCACGTTGAGTCTTGTATGACTAGTGTGCTTGCGATGATCAACAATCGTAATGAAAACAATGTCAATTCAGTCAATGAGATGCTCGGTTGTGCAATTTCACAAGTTGGAGATGTCAAGTTGCGTGTCGTTGGTGGTGAGATTTGCTTCGTTGATAGCAATGTTGACGCGAGGGGCACCAATGTTGATCATGGTTAGTTGGCGGGCTCGTTAACCAATGTGCATTTGAATCTATTTTGTGCGCCGTATCTTGCCTAACGAATTCATTCCAGCAGGCGGTCAGGATGTTCCTCATGATGTTAAAGGGAAAGCGAATGTGCCTTACGCAGCAGGTTTGTGCATCATGCCCTCTACATTGTTATGTTTGTTAACCTGATGCCGGGTGGTCACACAGATATCCTAATCTGGTCATATTCACAGGGCCATCCACTAGTAGGCTCGTGAACCCAACTCTTCGGAAGCGACTTGGCACGGACTTAGTGGGCAGCTTTGGTGCTCCCTCTGGTGAGTCCCTTAGTTATTGCTCTGTTTTTTAACATACCATGAATAGACATGATTAGAACAAGTTTTTGGTCTGGAGAGTGAATTTTTTTTTATGTTGTAGCTGTGGAGCACAATGTTGGGAATGCTTTTGCTCCTGGTGGGCACATTGATATGATGCCTAGTGCACGACACCTCTTTGGACCATTCCCAAGCCCAGATAGCCTTGACTTGAATCGACGGAACTCGCTAAGAGAAGGTGGTTCAGCCAGCAGTGGACTTGGTAAGATTCCTATCAACCAGTCTCTCCGCGCGGTCGTGTGAAAAATGTTTATACAATGGCAACTCAAAATCTCACTGTTTGCGGATGTGGCACTGTTTCTTTTGTAGGGAATGTTGCTAGGCGTCTTGATTTAAATTTGGGGAATGATGTTCGGGACTTCATAAACGGGACACCAATTGTTGGGCAAGTCGCCCCGGTGGATGTTGACATGAGCCTAACAATTGGTCGTTCCCCTACTGCAAATTTGCACCCCCGCCGTATGTGCCCCCTACCACAATTCTGTAGTTCCTATTGTTGCTACATTTCGACATACATGAGTGATTGGTTGAATCGATTTGATTTGTTGGTGACTGTGTCAAGATTGCCTTTTTTGTATGTGTCAAGAGCTCGCGCAAAGCACCTTGCTTGGATGGTTTGGTGCAGCCCGTCAGCTAAATGCTACAGGATGACCACAGACTACTCGATTGCAAACCCAATTGGAGTAGCTGTTTCTGAGATGGAGGGGAAGAGAAGGGATGAGCGTTTCTATGCAAGGGCCACGGATTCGACGTTCAATGATCTTTCTAGGTATGTGAACCGGGTTCCATTTGTTTCGCCATTGATTTCGATGCTAACTGGACTGAACCTTGTGTGACCCTTTGGACCTCCATATATCATATCATGACCCTTTCAAAAAATGGAACTCCTTGTGCAGGGTGTGGTTCAAGCATCCGCATCCATCTCTACTGAAAATGACTGGGGAGGAAGTGATAGAAGAGTTCTGTATAGATAATACACTTGCAAAGAAGGGGTTGGAATCAATCCTGCGTTTGGGGATCTGTCCCCTGGCATCAGGAAGACTAATCATTGGACTGGATTGGGCGGTGAGTGTTGCTGTACTCAAATTTACATTTTTTCCTTTGGTTCGTTGAGTATACCAGTTCTTGATTCAATGTGATTCTCTCATGTGGGTAGTTCAAATTTGCATACACAAACTCGTGCTGGAGGAGTGAGGACGTCCATGCTATGTTTACTCAGCTACCACTAGGGGTGGCCTGTGTCCTGGTTAGTGCTATTGTTGGCGTCTTTGATGCTTTCGTATAGTATGTCGTTAGTGCTATTGGGCGGTGTGTGTCGGGGTTTTGTCCTAAGCCATGCTTGTGCGTGTATAGTATGTCGTCTCACTAACTCGTTCAATGTGCCGCAGACTGCTTCAGTTGCATTGAAGAAGAAGCTCCTTCGGGCTGTCCTCACGATGGTGGGTAACGATGGCAGTGTGCCCTGTCGTGTCGAACCATAAGTGACATCCTGGAAATAATCAAAAGACTCCCGGCGCTATGTATTTTGCAAGTAGGCGCATGATGGTTTCGTTGTGGTTCAGTAATCCACATGATTAATCTTAGGGGGGTCGTCGTGTCTTCGATCTATGAACATATCTGCTACTCCATGCTTCTAGTGTGAGGGACATAAATTATTGTAATATTCTGCATATTGTCGACCACCCTGTGATTGCCTTGCAAGTGTTTCTGAACCTAAATTATTGTAATGATATGGGTCAGTATATGGGAATCCTGCTACATTATTTTGTGTGAAGCTATTATTGTGTTTTACTGGTACTGCGTTTGTTTTGCTATTGACAAATGTGGGAGGTAGGATTGCAAACATGTGGTTTTGGAAACTGCATTCATTGTGTGATAGTGCTCTGGTTGCATAACAGATGAATGACGATGTGTGTGGAGATCTCTACGTGTGTATATCATTCTGGTGCCAATTCTTTGTTGTGCCCCTGATCATAACTAAAAAAGTATAAAATATTTTAGATTGTGTGGGAGGAAACCTACAAGAAAAAGCTTTGGGTAAAATCCTACCACAACTTAGCTGTGTGATTGTGCTCTGGTTGGGTGTTTTTAGTAGTGTTCTGCATAAATGATGGGGAGGTTTGGGACTTCTGGGGCTTTTTGGATTGGATGTGTCACAGTAAAAATCGTGCCGGATGGGCTACAGTACAAACAAGGAAATGTGCACACCGGCCATCTCCTTCCGTAATTCAGAACTGCCACACCCGTTCCACGGGCGTTTCCATTCACATGATCATTTAGTATATATTGGTTAACTCGGTCAGGCCCCAGGTGTGGCTGATATTCAAAACCCAAGTGTTTTGCTGAAAATGCTGGTTCATTCAGTCACTGCCCCACCACTCATCTGAAAAACATTCTCCCAGGGGGGGATTTATTTCTATGTCCTCGACTGATTGCATTGTGAAAAACGGATAAAAATCATAAGTTACATGGTTTTTTATTTTGCACATAGCTACGCCAAATGTAATTGCTGAAGGAAATATGCCCTAGAGGCAATAATAAAGTTATTATTTATTTCTTTATATCATGATAAATGTTTATTATTCATGCTAGAATTGTATTAACCGGAAACATAATACATGTGTGAATACATAGACAAACAAAGTGTCACTAGTATGCCTCTACTTGACTAGCTCGTTAATCAAAGATGGTTATGTTTCCTAACCATAGACAAAGAGTTGTCATTTGATTAACGGGATCACATCATTAGTTAAATGATCTGATTGACATGACCCATTTCATTAGCTTAGCACCCGATCGTTTACTATGTTGCTATTGCTTTCT